TTCCCTACAGAATCCAAAATCTTATGCGTAATGACGCAAGCAGACGCAAGTGTACTAAAATAAATGTTAAACCGAATATTAATGTGGCATAAATTTCAGTAACCCCCAAAACTAAATAGTAAGAGGCCTTTTTTTTACGGGGGGAAACCTTGAAAAGGTGCACCGTTTTCACTGGGGTCGGAGACGGCCAATGCGGGATTTTACCCGTTAAAAACCCCTCAGTGACCCTCTCGGGCGTGAGGGCTGGCCACGGGATCGCTCGACTACTCACCGCGACCAGCCCCGCCCTTGCCCTCCCTCTATTGAGGGAGGGCTCTTCTCTGAGAGACGATTGTGGATGCCGTCCCCCCACCTCCTGCCTACACCGTTGAGGGGTCACCTCTCGACGCTGTCTTCACGTAGGCCGACCGCGAAAGGGGGTGGTACCCCCAGTACCACCTCTTCGGCTCTGGTTGCCCTGCGGGCGGCGCGTGGGGTCATTGCGGTTGTGACCCCTATAAACCACACCCCCCGCAGGGCAATCCTTTTCCCCTCAGCGGTCCACTCCAAACTTGCGCACCTAATGGCCTCATTTACCGGCAATACATTCCAAGCAATTTGTAAATTCTTACATATAATAGATAAATTTACTAATCTTTCATATCTATTACGAGTACATATTATGTTGTCAACACAAAACACAAATAACGTATAAAAAATCAACAGAAGTCATGCAACGTCACCGCTATATCAAGGCATTTGTTTTACATTGTTTCTGAAGTGTAATATACATAATGTTTTGTGTCGTATATTTGGAATGTTTTAGCGTAGAAAACGTATTACTTACTGCTTTCTTAAAATACGAATATTCTATTGTTCACGAGGATATAGTAAGATAGATAGTGCAGTTTAAATATAAATTTAGTTATAAAAGTACGTACATTTAGTAAACGGGATTACTTTTTTATTGGCACATAATTATTATTCCATTTTCAATATTTCAATAGCCAATAATTTAAGAACTCTAAAAAATAGAAAAAATCTTAAGAAAATAATTAATATGAAAAAAAATACATTATTTTATTTAAAAAACATAATTGTTTTAATCTTTACAATAATTGTACAAAACATTTAAACATTACATGTGAAACAATAAAACAGAATAAAAAGATCATAACATTTTGATTCAAGTACAAATTATGCTAATCCAACATAATTTTAGCGAAGTACTTAAATTACTATTTTACGTTTTTTATAAGTAATTATAAATTCAACCACTTCAAATTCGAATATTTTTTTGAACTGAATAGGAATGTTTCTGTCAATTATTTAATGTAATCTGAATTATACATTTTGGTGCTCAAAAAAATCCCAAATTTTAATATTGCTCCACTTGCAGGTTCAATGACAATATCTTCTTCAACACTCCAATCATTGTTTGCAATGTCTAAAATACAAATCGAAAGAATAATAAAAAAAAAAGTATGAAAAATATAATCCTACTTATGTAGTAAAAGTAATGCTTATTCACTATAAGCTTAGTGAAATCAGTAATGGAAACATTATATCAAGCTCAATTAAAAAGTTTAACAAAGTTAAGTATCAATACGTTATTAAACGTGATATTTATTTGCTTATATACGAAATAGTAATGCCTCACTTACATGGTTTAACTGGCGCAGGGTTTGAAAACAACGTTACAGTCGGCTTTTTTAATATTATCCTTTCTAGGCATTCTAATTTTACCAGTATCTGTCGCAAAAATAAATATTTTACAGGATCAGGTAGTATTAATCAAATATTTCATTATACAAAATCATTGTTATAGTGTATAAAGTACGCAATATATGTTTAATACCCGCTAATATACATATTAGTATTCTATCTGGTGAAAATGCGAAAAAATGATTCAGATGAAAGTTGTTTGATTTCATGGAGTGAACTTAATAGAAGATTTGAATCTTTTTAATTGTTAACAGAGATTTTAATAACAATGCAATTTTTTAAAATGGAACTACATATTTTTATTATTGTTACGTTATTAGGCATTTTAAGACGAATTCAACGACATTTAAAAATTCTGTTTGAGTAATAACTTCTCAGATAACTGTATAGATATTGCTGGCAAATGGCAAGTTCGGGTAGTGTCTTTTACCCATAACGTGTGATCCGTGAGACAAGAAACAATAAAATTGCCGCCAGTATTCATAGAGTTATCGGAGAAGTTATTCAAACAGAACTTTCAAATATGTCGTTAAATTTGTCTTCAAATGCTTAATAACATAACAATAATAAAAATATGTAGTTCCATTTTAAAACATTGCATTGTCATTGAAATCTTTGTAAATAACAATTAAAAAAGAATTTCAAATATTCTATTAAGTTTACTGTATGAAATCAAACAACTTACATATGAAACAATTTTTCGCATTTTCAATAGTTAAGAGAAATAACAGCGTATACACACTTAAACCGGACATACTTTACATTAAATACATTCTTAAAGAATAAAAATTAAAATATGTATTTAAAAAAATACATGTTTTAATATTTCAAAACATTTTAGTTTAAGAAAATTAGGTCTCGATAAAGTAATTAAAAAAATTACCTCAACTAATTCTCTTGTATGATACGGTTGTAGAACGGGAACAAACCTACTTTGTACTTTAGTTAATGCAATACCCGGGTGCGTCACGCAGTATGATAGCACTGCCCCCAACATGCGGTCAAGTACTCTACGATTCAAAACTCCATCTATTCGAATCCACGGTTTTATTGCGAGCCGTATTTCTTCTTTTGTTCTGCAACGTGAATTTGAAAAAAAAATTATAATCTTATTCGAATTTATTTTTCTAAATAATTTCGAATAGAAGAGACAAATTACGTGAGATCTAATTGTTTCACAGCTCTGGATATATCTCTTTGCGGTAATAAACCAGTCCTTTTTCGCTGCATTCGTTTCTTCACTTGTGTGTTGCATTCATCACTATGACTAGACGATTCCTTGTCAGAATCTTCATTTTTCTGACTCTTTATTTCTGATTGAATATCCAATCCAATCAAGTTTTTACAAGCAGCACTTTTTGATTCACTTTCTGATGAAAAGCTAGGTTTCTCATTAGATTCATCAATCATGTTTATCTCATTGCCTTCGGTTAGTATTACCTCTGGTTCTGTTACATACACTGTTCCCTTGGGTAGTGGAACAAGTGACTCCTTTTCAAGTCGACCAATTTTATATGAATGTATTAACCAAGAATCTGCATAACGATGGTGTATATATCGTACAGTTGTTACACCACATCGTAGAAATATGTGGTGTTTAGTGAGGAGTGAAGCAATATTAGGTAAATCTTCTCCTAAAGTACTTCCAAATTGATCCTATATGAAGAGGGAGAAAGTGAGTATAAATATACCAGCAAAATTTAAATCTATGGCGTTTTACTTAATAATTAAAGTACGAAAATGTTTATTAGCAATAAACAAAAACGAAGATTAAAATTGCTTCCACTATTTGCTTTCATAATTCTACATATTTCTCTATGTTACAAATATAACTGTTAATACTGTAAATAATATATTAGTAAATATTAATGAATCTTAGAAATATTTATTTCTATGGAATCTCAAATGATATATTGTTTGAAACTGAACTTTAAAATAGTATTATTGCTTTTATTCACCGTCAATTCAGGAATACTAGCTCCAAGCTCTTGTTTGTCACGTACAAACTTATAAACTATTTCTATATCATTCAAGTTTAATTGACAGTCCATGTGCAGATTCTTCTTGAATTCAGAATATGAAATACCATCATTAGGAAAAACAGCAACCCTGTTCAGTTCTTGAATTAAGTTATTTGCAGCTTCTAATCTTAAAGGTATCAGCTCCGGAGGTATCAAAAGATGTCTAAAAATTTCGTATTGTCCTGAATGTTGTGAATTTGACGGATTTAAAAAATAATAGACTTTAAACATGTTTACAGCAAAATATTCATGTGCATGGTGACTGTCAGCTGCTGTGAGTTCGCTTAATTCCTCTCTCATTCTCAGTAAAGCTAAACGAGTATACCGTTTGTGTATATCACCCGTATCATCAAGTTTACAAAACTGATGCAGATAATTCTGTTCAGATGATATATTCTTCAAAATGTCACTAACACGTGTAAAAGTCTGCCCATTCACTGTTCTTGAGGGTATAGTAATTTCATTTTTTCTATACAAAGTACTTTTTCCACTAGTAATAATATCATTAGTTTTTTGTTTCATACTATTACATTTATCAACCTCATGGATAGAATTTTTATTTGAACTTTTGTTTTGTGTCTGATCTGATAATTTTGTCGAAGTAACATCACAGCCCGGCAATGTACTTGTATCGATGTTTATATGCATTTTGCCATCCAGAATTTCATTATATGACTTTGCTCTTTTCTTCGCTGGTTCATCAAAGTCGAACTCTTCTTTATGAACATCTCTTACTCTCTTATTTCCAGACGTAATCAGCTGTGTTTGCATATCTACGTTTGATTCTGAATTCGAATGAAATGAAACTAGGTTTTCTATGTTTGTTGTATTATTATTTTCATGACCGTGCAACGATTGTTTTTTATGAAATTTACCTCCATCCGTTTCTGTTACCGAATCCTCATCATAAAGTGTTGAACGCTCAACGTCATCTTTGTTCAATGCGATCTTAGTCCCATCTTGAAATTTAATTATATTATGTTCGTCATCACCTACATTACGAGCATTGTCATCATCACTATCGAAATTTAAGTCATCATAATCAGCTAGACTCTTGGCATCTTCAAAATTTCTGTCTTCAGCTTCGAATTCTTGTGAAAGTAAATTCTTTTCCGTATCAAAATCAGAGAAGCCATCTTTATCTGATTTTGCATCGATATTATGGACATTAACACCACTAACATTTAAAATCTCTGAATTAAACTCTTTGTTTTGTTCTTTATTTTCTGCAAGATCCGGTATGGCACCATCGTTTTGATAAGATTCTTTGACAAATTTCAGATTGTCTAAACTTACCAAAACATCTTGGTACCTTTTAGCGATTCTAAAGTATGTTTCATCCTTTTCTTGTAATCTTGGGTCAAGCATGATCACTTGATCGGGTATTTCAATATCAAAATCCATGTTATCTCTAACAATATAATCGTGTGTCGCTGTTATTACTCCACCTGTTACTGGAGACACTTCAATGCCATTACAATTTTCGAATGTTTTATTCGGATTGTTGAATTGGGAATGGTAATACCAATTATTGAGTTTAAGGAAAACATCATATGATTCTTTAAACATATCATAAGGCCATTTAGTATGAAATTTATATATGTAATTACTACTCAACTGGTATTGAGAACTACTCATAGGCATGTAGTTACCATACTTCCTTATTGTAGGAAGCTGGCTTTTCTTAACTGTGACTAGTTGATCACTTCGAATTTTTGCCATGGCATTCCGTAATAGCATCTCTGGATACTGTTGATACACTTTGAACAATTGATACGCCCATGACCTTCTATCTTTTCCACAACACATAGAACTATGAATGACAGAATTAATAACTGCAGAATGTATATCAGTAACGTTTCGGACGTCTTTCGTGAATCCACGATTACCAAACGGTTTCGTAGGATGCACCACTTTATAAAATATATTAAATTCTTGTACAGTTGCTGGTATAGGAAGGGGTTCCTTCGTCTCAACATCCGAAATATCATAGTATTTCCTAATAATATAAGCAACAAGTGATTTGAACACTTCTACAACTTGTACTTCAAATTCAAAAAAATTCTTGTATTCCTCTTTAAGCCTATCTATGATACCATGGAAGCGTTTCCTAATAAAAAAGTTCTGTTTAATTTCTTCGACCCCTAAAGCAACAATATTTACATTATGTTGTTGCCGAAGCATGTACAAAAGCCGTCGCTGACACGCTCTCGATGTTTTATTATACGACATGTGCGAATACATTCGTAAAACGTCCCTCACCATAGAAAACGTTATCACTTGTTTACGCGGATTCGGACACAAGTATACCATAGCAACCTTGCAAATTAGCAAGACTTTGTCTTCATACGAGTCCCAGTCTACCCGTAACTTGTGCATTCGTTGCAATGCTCCATAATCAACTTCATCGTATTTAGTTCGTTTTCTGGTGGTAGATTTACGCGGTAATACTCTTCTTACATAAGATTTCTGTTTCGAGTTTCGACAACCTATCAATTCTTCATATTGTCTTTGTTCAATTAAATTGATGTCGGGTTTTGATTGTACCTTTCTTCTCAGCTCTGTTGGATTCAGAGATGGAGGACCAGAAACTCTCTTCAAACCGGAAAACTCTGTGAATTTAAGTGGCTTTGCTTTTATCTTTGAAAGATATGTGTCCCTTTCATATTGTACAGTTTGCCGTTTTTTTATTTGCCGAGAATTATTATTAATACCCCAATTCCAATTGCGTTTAAGATGAGCGAAACACGCTGAATCTATTCCAGCGGCGCCTTTACGGTCTCCAGGCACCATTCCGGTGTCCAATCTCACAGCTTCTTCCGGAGAACGTGCTGCTACTGCTTGGATCATATCATTTTTCCTATTTACATCTTCCAATACTATGTCTTTTCCTTGAACGACAAGTCGACCACCCAGTGGTGTACTAATACATGTATTCCACATATCATACCAGTATTTTTCAACCACTGACAGCCTATCGAAATGATAATTATATACAGGATAAGGTTTATCTTCAATTATATGATAGCTAGGCGCAGATGAAGTTGTATCCATCAGTTCTGTACGACGATTTACATATATGAATACTTGGTCTTTCTCCTTTAGTCTCTGCGGACCAAATTGTATCAACCCAATGTAACATAATCTCGTAACTGTCTCATGAATATTAAAAATATATTTACGCGCATATAATAAAGAGTTTCGAATGTCTGTTGGTAATTCTCTAACCAAATAATGCTTTCGAATAGGATGGTTCATATACTTATCTAATTCTGGTATAACAAAAGAGATAAAGTGAAGTTTTAAGAATATAGACAATGGCAGTCGTAGTAGGACATCGCACATTAATGCCCATCCTTGAGGCCAACCTGAAAATCAACAGTTTCATTTCATAAAATTTAATGAGATTTAATCAAACGTTTTATGAATATTAATTACAATATTTTTTCTTCAATCTATTTTTCTTTCATTTTTCTAGAGTGAAGCTCTGAAAACAGAACTATAACTAATGATTCGCCTTTAATATGGAAGATTTTACCAGAAGCATTGAGTAATGGAGAGGAAGATGGAGAAGAAATTTATTATTTCGTGTAAGGCAATGAACCTACCAGTATATTTAGGCAAAGGTGGCATGAACATTTTCCAACTAATATCTTTAGTGTAAATTGTACTGAACTCGTCTGCCAATTCGTCCGTTATATTAAAATCGTTACTGCGTAAAGCTTGTATCTGTTTCTTTTTTGAAAGTGTTGGTTCGCCAGGATGTTCATAAACCAAATAGAACAAAGCAGTATGTAATGCTTGCATACGTATAAATTTTGGACTGTATCCATATTTTTTTGATCCTCTCTGAAATATAAGAAAATTAATTTAGTAATTTTATTTATTTTGTTTGAATGTACAGTTGATTCATAACTATTAAAACACATAATATTTATAGCATAAGTTAGGATGCTTACAGGGCCACACCTATAGTTTGCTGATACTGCCTTAATTTGTTTGAATGCAGTCTTATCTTCAGATTTGTTTGATACATCTTCGATATTATTACTTTTATTAGGGTCTAATTTTTCTATATACCTTTTTATAGGTGACCTAGTTCTATGAGATAATAATAAATAAAATTTCAATTTCGCTTGTTCCACAGCTGACTGAATAACATGACTATTAATATCAATATTCGGATCACATATAAATACCAAAGTTTTCTCTTTACCATTTGTACTGAATGTTACTTTTATGTTCTTTACTAAGTTATCTTTAGCAAGCTTTTGTAACAGTCTTATTAAGGATTTTTTATCAATTTTCACATCATATCCTTCTTTATCTTCTTCCTCATGTATCATCTAAGAAAAATGATATAATATATTCATGTATCTATAATATTTAAGTAGATGGTACTAAACATGTATATGATAATTATTTATGTATCTTTAACAAAAATATTTGTTTTTTTATAGACCTACCTTCATTAATTTCGTCATATCGTCAATAACTTGATGTTCTTTAACTGATTCAATAATCATATTAGCTCTTCGCAGTAATCTGTAGGTGATGTGTGGTAAATGAGTAAAATTTTTCTTTTCACTGTTTTGGACATTTTCCATGAATCCAAATACTTCATTATCTGATTTATGTGCTTTTATTGGTGATAAAATAGTCAAATCGACTCCTATATTTTTATATGTAGCTGCCGTATTTTCATTCTTTGATGTATCAGTAATTTGAGGTAATGTATCATTCGCATTTGTATTCTTTTCTTTTGCCTGTATATGATTATTTCTATAACTCAAAAATGTACGCTTATATTTATTTGGTCGTTTTGTTAAACGATATTTATATAGTATTCTGCTGACAACATAAAAGGTTTTTTGTATTTCTATCACAGGTGTATTCGATTTTTCTTCAGCTTCAACACAACTGTTTTCATGGTTTTCATTAACTGTAATGGATTCAGATACTTCTATGACATTCTTTTCCTGATCATTAATAATATCTTCCTTTTCTTGTATAATAGTTACATTTTTATTAGAATCATCATTTTCAGTCATTTGTTTTGTAAGTTCTTTTATTTTATGCATTTCCGTCTTGAATTGTTTACTTAACATACTACCTTTTTCAAATCTTTTTGATACATATTTTGTAAGTCTTTGTCTACCTATATCGTTCATATAAGTAGCAACAATATTTCGTTTAACCAGGTTTCGCAAAATTGTCCGAGCTTGTAATTTAGTTAGCCCCATTATTCTAGCTAATCTTCCCTGGCATATGCCATCGCTTCCAGTAGATTCAATTATTGCGTTTGCTTGCTTTAAGTAAGGTACACTATATTTATGATTTGAAATATTTAACTCTGTAAAATAAGAAACATATTAAAAGGATCAGACAAAAAAAAACGTTAAAATTATGTAGCGCATAAGAAATGTATCTACACTTTCAGCTTTTAAAGTATGATATTCAGTAAAAATGCGTTAAAATATGAAACTAGCTAAATTTTTTTAATTCTTATACAGTGAAGTTTATTATACCGAACAAAATAATAGTAAATTACAAAATAATAGTTCAATAGTCTCAAACGTAATTTTAACCAATACATGTAGAAATATTAACACATAATAACATGCTAACTATAATATATAATAGAATTATTGAACAAACCATGCAATTCGTCCTCTTCTTGTATATCATCTTTATTCCATGCTTCAGCCACATCAATAGTGGGAAGTAATAACTGTACCACTTTAATCTTCTTCTCCTTAGCTAAATTATTTTTCTGTTGCCATTCTGTAGGTTCTGCATTTGGATATAAAGTTCTATATGGTACTCTCTGTGTCAAAATACAAATAATTTTTGTGTTAATAGTTAAAAGTAACATTTTTAATTTATCAATACTTAGTACTTACAATATCTGTTTTTACAATTTTCTGAAAGAATGTAGTTTTAAATAATTTCTTTATTGGATTTTCAATTCTTAGCTTGCGTTTTATTTCATCATATTCTGCAACACAATTAGGTTTTGTTTGAAGAATTTTAATAACTTCTTCAGCTAAGAAAATTGCTTTTGGCTTTCTTTCAACAAAAAATCTTGGAAGATGTAAAAGACTTCCATTGCAACTATGACCACCACTCTTTTGATGATGTATCTGTTTTGTTATTAATTTATGACGTAGCAATAATTTTCGATGATAAAACAGACTCTTAGGATCTTCTTTCAGTGCGTTAAGGCTAAGTGTTCCTTGTGTAACCTCGCCATGATACCGTGATCTACCTACTCTTTCAAGGAAACAATATTGTATTACATTTAAGTGAACTGTTGGAGATACTTCATTTCCCATTAATGCATGATTTCTTGCAGACTGTGATGCAACAATTACTAATTTATCTCCATACTTTTCTGTAACTTCATCTAAAGTAAGAGTTCTTACATTTTCTGTTATTTCTTTACGTGTGCAGTAAGTTGAACATGATCCTTTAATGTCTTTAGAAACATTATTTATAGGGCAATGTGGATAAATGTCTGGTGGTACATCATCCTATAAACATGATTCTTCTGATAATGTTTCTGTTTAAACAAAATAATCATGCGATCAGTCAATAAATTTCTGTATCTTTATAAATGTAGTTACGTCAATATTTTGTAAAAAACATTAGATATTCTTTTACAAGAATAATCAGTATTTTGATATAAGATGATATAACATTATTGCTAAATAGGACACGATCAATTAAAGGAAGATAAATTATTGTTTTCTGTTACATAAATATTTTTTAAAAACCTAAAGAAACTTATAGACTGATCCATTAAATTTTTTGTTTTAATACTTACCGGTTCTAATATAATGCCTAAATCAGGATCTACAAATTCATAACGATCATAAATTAGAAGTGGTTCCCTTGCTGTTTCTAATTCATAAAATCCAAATTCCCTGACTTGTATACATATCGACCATATCTGAACCACTAATGGTTTTGGAAATGGTAAAGGATTCTGAAGACGCTGTGCTAAACGTAACCATAGTGCTATAAAATAATATAAACATTTAGTATAAGAAATCCATATCTATTTTGATATATATACATAATTCAATACAATTAAAATTAAAGTCAATAAATGCCTTAATAAAAATTAAAAAAAAAAACAAAGAAATTATTGTAATTAGTGTATTAGTAACGACCAATATTCCATTCTTTGTTAACTTCAATTTATTGTTCATATCAATGAAAGATAGTAATAATTCACAAGAACTACTATACATTTTAAAAATAATAACCTCATTTAATAAAACATGTTTTGTTTAACATTTTCAGGTTATTTACTTATCATTTTTACACTGAATATGATATGCAATATAAGGATATTTATTTAAAAAATAGTTAATCAAATTACAAATGCGTTAGTTGTACAACTATGATATGTACATTTTATGTATTAATGTTTACACTAACCTTGTAGAGTAATACCATCCAAACCTTCTAATGCAACCTCGTCAATAGTTAAATCGACTAAATTAATTGATGGATACGATACCATAATAAATATTACTTTAAGACCTACTATACAATATAAAAAGTTTTTAACATCTTTACTTTCCAACACATTATTATACGCGTAGATTAAGAAACGCTTTTTTATAGTTCACATTATCTCACACGTAAAACGCGTGAAACGTTTTCGATTAAAGGAATAAAAAAAAATTAAAGCTCATGCTTCAATCTTCTTCAATGTGCTTCAATCTGCTTCAATTGGCTTCAATCAATCGTTCAATCCAGCTTTAAGCCTTAAAGTTTAAGGTTGATCAAGGTTGATCAATGTTTCACAAGGTGTTGTTGTGAATCTCGCCGTCATCTTGTAGCGGCGTCCAACGTAAGCTTCACAAGCGTGAAATTCAAATTGAGGTAGAAAAGGAGGTGGAAGCAGCTGTGTATTCTTTTAAAATGCATATTTTAATTAATTAATATTTGCTTAGGAACGTATGTTTTAACAGTCGAATTTCGCTTTTACTCCTTCTCTGAAGTATATTAAATTATGGCAAATATGTTAAACACTTGAAAATTAGAAAATTAATAGCTGAAAGGAATGTATTAGCAAATCAGAAGTTATTTCATAATCTAATAATTATTTTATTGAATTATTAGACATATTATTGTAATGAACAAATGCAACAAAACCGATCGTTTTGTAAAGGAGTCCATTCCTATATAGTGCCAAAAACTATAAAAGGAAGTGCAAAAATAAGTGTTTAGAAATAAAGAAAAGAATAATTAGTAAACAATATAATAATGAGGAGTGTGTAAGAAATCCTTTTACGATTATGAAATGGCAAAATATTATACATATAAGCCCTACAGTGTTTGTACCAACTTATTACGTTTACAATGTACTTTTATCAATGTTGAAATACAATGCATTTTTATTAAATTTTATTTTATTGTAACAACATTTATCTATTCTCAATGACTATTCCTTACCTCACCTGTAACCTGTAAGACGTCTGTGACACATGTGTATAAGACTTCTTGAAGCCATCTTTAAACCATGTGTAACGTATCTTTAATACGTCTATGAATCCCGGCCATCAAATAAAAATGGACCTAGGAATGGGACCTTGCGTTCCGTCTTTTAGTTCCTATATCCATGGGTTCCCTGTGGTGCATGCGCCTATACGATCTTCTACGGACACATCGATTGCAGCGCTGTGTGGCTAGCGGAAAATTCATGAAACTTTCGGTCTTCCTTAAGGGATCACCCCCACCAGAGAGGATGAAACTAATGATTCCATCGATGTAACTACGGTTCCATAGATGGGATTGGGTTCCATCTAGAGTTCTACATTGGGCGGATAAACCTGGGTCTTCCCGCCCGTTACCCGTCGCTTATCGCTTCGCTCAAGCCCACCCAAACCCGTAGCGGGTCGACATATATATCTAGGCGTCCAAGCCCGTCCGAAGTTATCGCAACATGTGATCTTTCCACTCGTGCCCGCTAGAGTCCTGCATTGAACGGGCTGAGCGGGCGTAGTGGGCCTAGCGGGGATTCTACGGGTCGGGCGGGCTAGCACAAATTTGGGCGGGTATGGACGGGTTTGTGGCGCGCATCGTCGGCCTGCGCGGGCCGGGCCAGCCCAGGTAGAGATAAAACGGTCGGGTGACGGGCGGGCTCAGCCCGCCCAATGCAGAACTCTAGTTTCTATGCTACAATAAAGTAGCCTACAATAAACGAGCGTCTACTGTATGACGTTATACCGAACCTGTACGCAACAACATTATTTCAATTGCTCCTTGTTAATAAGTTATTAGTAAGATATCTGACCATTCAATATTATAAAACAGATCAGGAGCAATTTTTTAGTACCATAATATTTGTGTAAAAAGACCATTTACTATCTATTTTGCAGATAACAAATTTTTGCTTTTTCATTTGCGAATATCTTATTAAATATAAACGGTGCGATGGGATCAATTTTAGATTTCGAGGGAGCAAATTGAGAGCAATTTTTTAAGATATAAATTGTTAAGAAACCTAATATTCGGCACCAACTATTCTCCGGTTCCTGGGCATGCTAGATGACAGAGTGGGGTACGCGCACGTGGTTGAGAAATACGTGTGGGCGGAGGGCGTTCCTATGCTACAATAAAATAGTCTGCAATAAACGAGCGCCTACTGGACATATTTCAATTTCTTTAAATTTTTATTTACCGCAAGAGGATAAAAATAACAGTCCATAAAATAACAAAGGTATGTAAATTATTTAATAAAAATGGCAATACATATTATGACTTTATAAATTGTTTTTTTAGACTGTTGTGTTTAGAAGCTGTTAATATTTTTATCCATTTTGTATTAATTATTTCTTGTTAAATTACTGCACATGTAAGTAATTTCTAATTTTTTGATGTATTTAACAAAAATACTCAATTTACTACACTTTTATTTGTCTCTATGTACGTGTGGTGAATACGTACATAAACATGATAATACAAAATACTAAACAACCATAACGTGTCCACACGTCATATCAACAAGATATGACATGTTATGGTATTGCAACTACTGTATTTAATTACTTGTAGTGTATCCAACTTGAAATTCCCAGGTGAATTCCCTTCTATACTGCTTCTACAATATTGTATTAACTATAATTAATAAAGAATTATTGTAAATGATTGTTTCTGCGACATTTTTAGTGTATCCTTGAAGTATTTCCTTTACTTTTTTGTTAAACATTTAATTTAAAGAACGTCGTGTATATACATACATACATATATAGGCATACATGTGTATACCATTCAATCATTAAACAGGATCGCAAGTCGTTTCTACTTCATGTCACATAAAATAATATTTTATGCTTTCTGATTCGATTATGATTTTAAACCAGTTGATAGAATTTATCGTGTGGCCAATAGTAGTCAATTTCTATTGAAACTACCTTTCTCAACCGTCGTATAGATCTGTCTATAAATACAGGACACAGCACAGCAGTTAGCAGCTGGCAGCCGTAATAATGTCTGTTGTGGACAAAATTAAGCATTATCAGCGAAATATTGAAAAATGCGATGACAATCACGATAGAGTATGTATAGTTGCATTAATTTTCATGTTTTCAACATTTTTAGCGAAGCATAAAATGAAGCAGTTACATTATTGTCGTTTGAGGATAACCTCACGATGCTCACGTATAATCACGTTGATGCGTAAACCTGAAGCATTATTATTGAAAATTATATTCAGAAATTTCAAATATTAAAATACATGTTTTGCTTCAAATATAAATACATTTCTTAAAATGAATATTAATTTATATTAGTTTTACGTTACGATCTGTATGAAAGTAAGCTTAAGAAAAATATGCGTTTGAACTTTGATGAATTTAATTCCTATAATTTTGAATATTTGTATATTTAAGTTAAGTATTTTTACGGTAAAAATATAACGATCAGTATTTTGTACCTTACATTTTTATTCTTTTCTTAACCTTTGATGTTCATGATAGGTCAATGTGTACCTGACAGATTAACATATCAATGTTAATATGTTGCTTTTTTTATATATTACAGATACTACATTGTATTTCCAAATTATCCAATTTGCCAGTGACAGTACAACATCTTCAAGAGACTGGTGTTGGACGTACAGTAAATGCTTTAAGGAAATATGAAGATGGCATAGGTGAAGCTTCTAAGGCACTTGTTGCAAAATGGAAAGCTATGGTTGCAAGTGAGGAAACTAGCGATGGAGAAGATGAGGATGAAGCTTGCATTCCTGATGCACCTGAAAGTTACAGTGACGGTCATGAATCTCCAAAGACTGAAGAAAATTTTATAAGGTACAAAGAAATTACCTTATCTTAGTGTATCTGGAACCATGTGATGTTTCAAGTAGTACTAATACTACGTATAACATAATCTGATTTTATTTTACATAGTTTTTATACATAACATGTTATAATAACTTAAGGTGAAAGATGTGTTTAGGTAATATTCATGTTGAAATATTTGTTATATGTAGAATTATAAGTATATATTAGTAACAACAAAAAATAATGTTCTTGGTATTAACAAAAATTTATGTACTTCATATTATGGTTTTTCAGATACAACAGCGAAGAAAGTGGGAAACATTTACAAAGGCATAAGACAGAAAAGATTGAAATATCAAATACAGCACATAATAAACATATATCTAAACAAGAATCAAAATTAAAATCTGACAAAAGTCAGTCAAAGTATACTAGTGATGCTGCCAAAAGTTCTGGTAGTGACTTAGAGAAGCAAAAGAAACATGACAAAGATAAGCATAGTCATAAACATCAGTCTCGAAACGAAAAAGAATCTTTAAAGGATTATAAAAGTGCCTCTAAGAAAGATGAAGTTCATGTGTCTAAACACCACAGTCATAGTAAACCAGAAAATCTAGAAAAATACTTGAATAAATCTTCTGACAGTAATACTTCACTTAAAAACAATGAAGAAAATCATAAGAAACGGAAAATTGAAGGTTCCAGCACTCTAAGAAAGGAAAGCAAACGAAGAAAAAATTCAGAAAGTGAAAACGATGAAGGCAAACTTCATGTGTCTTCTACTTCAGAAAAACATAACAGTACACCTAGTACAGTTAAAATAAAAGAAGAGCCCAAGGACAAAGATGTCATAAATAAGAATGAAATTAAGCATGAGAAGAAAGATTCTCAGGAAAAATTAAAAGGAAGCTCTAGTAAGCATAGAAGTGATTCATCGAGTAATAAGTTAAAAGACAGTGGAGAGAAAAATAAATGCAAGAGTGATAGTCAAACAAATCATAATAAAGATGAATCAAAAAAAGCTGATGATCATCATTCCAATAAAGAATCTTCAGAGTCAAAGCATCGTAATAGTTCCTCTAGTGATAAATATTGTGATAAAAGTAAAGATAGAAGTAAAAAAAAAGATCATACTGAAGGAAAAAGTAAACATGAAAGCAAAGGTAATAAGGATGCAAAGCACTCCAAGCATGGATCAAAGGAACCAAAGGAATCAGTAAAAGTTAAACAAGAAATTAATGGGGATGAGGGAATAGATTGCAATTCTGGTTAGTTTGTAAATATTTGCTGTTTTGAAGATAACCAAAAAAATATGTAATTATTTAGTTTTTTTACTTAAACAGTGTTGAATAAATTTGGTTTATTGTATTGTTGTGTGCTTATGATAACTTTATAAAATTCCTTAAATAAAATATTAATTTAATTTTGTATAGATGCTGTATTAAGAAAATGTTTCCTTTTATAAAACTATTTTGGAAAATTTCAAAAATTTATTTCTCATAGTTACATATTTTAATATTTTTCAAATTTTAAAATAATTAGAAATATCATAATCAATGTGTTTCTTCTTTATCTATAGGTGCTAGTTTTGCTGAGGCACTTGGTATGTGTACAGTGGCTCAGCCATCGAAGAAACGTATTAACAATACTGCAAGCACAAGTTCTACAAAACCAGTTAAAGTGGAACAATTGACTAATATTAAAAAATCAGTACCGAAGAATGAATCAGTGAACAGTGATCCTTTACAAGTAAGTTATATTATACAATATAATTTACATTGTTTCAAGTCATTTAAGTATTATTACTTTATATTAATACAAAACTATAAACAGTTGTTTTTGAAATTTTATTAAACTATAAATGTAATCAATGTCTTGTATTGCAGCCACCTTCTCTTTTGTCATCAAATGTAAAGTTAGAACCATTAAGTGTGGATTTGGCATCTACGTTGCCTGAGATTAGTCCAAATTATAAACCACTGCCATATGTTAACCCTGTGCATCGTAAAGAGGAAGATAAATGTCTTACGGACGTGATATATGTAAAAAATCAAAGGTAACATTTTAATAATTAGGAAAATGTGAATAAGATATGACATGTCTATTTGTAATTGTAGGACAAAAGTGTATTCAGGAAATAAATCTGGCTACACAACTGTACCTACCCTGTTTGAAATATGTACGCAAGTACTAATAGAAAATATTGATGGTAAGTAAGATAAAAATATAATTACAGTGAAAAAAATTTCCAGTACTTTTTATACTTAAAATTAGAGCTATTAATTTTACTCAGGTACCCGTGAGATAGCCGGGTATCCGGGTATCCATGAGATATCCGAATAATGAGCCAGTCAAGAATCTCGATTCGGGAGTCGATCGTATTTCGACCATCTTCGATCGATATCTGCAATGACCGAAATAAACTAAGAAAAACTGAAAATGATATTACAATAATAAGAATAATAATTATAATCATATAATCAAATATATGTTATTATATTATTATGATTATTCGATCGCAATCGCGTATACTACGTTATTTAGCACTATATACTAATAATAAATATTATATTGTTATATTATAAGAATGAGTAAGTCATGTTTTTGCAGTGTATGCCTACGCGGCTGCGGTCACTTCCGAATCGCAATTCTGGACTGTCTCATATATTCAGATATCCCATGGATACCCGGGTACCTGGGTATCTCACGGGTACTGGGGTACCCGGGTATCTTATGGAGTCACAGCTCTACTTAAAATACAGCTTACACATAAAATCTAAGTATAAGAGAAATGTGAAATATTTTCTTAAACTTCAAATATTTAATATATCGGTAACATTATTATATGTCACATACCTTGTTTCTTAAAAATAACTATTAATATTAAAGTATCTTTAATTTTCTTTATGTCATATATAGCTCTTGAATTTACTGGCGGTGTACCTTTTGACATCATAAAACCAGTGTTAGAACGTGCAACACCAGATCAGTTGTTTATGTTAGAACATTATAATCCTTATTTAATTGAAGATACAGATAGTTTGTGGCAGTTTCACTGTAATCGTGAATTTAGGAGCAAACAAAGGGAAGAAATGGAAACATGGCGTGAAATGTACATGGTATGTATATTTTGATATAGTTTTCAACAGTTTGTATAACGGTTCTTAAAATAATACAAATTTATACTTTGTGGAATGGTTACATGCTTGGAACATATTGTAACATTTTACCTTAACTATATGAATTCTGATTTTTATAACATATTAGCGCTGTTTGGATGAGAGAGAAGCAAAACTGAAAACGCTTACAGCAAATATAAAACAATCAATTAATAAATCTATCCCTGTAAGATCTGCAAAACTTGCATATGCGGAAAATATTGTTAAGCCTCCGAGAAATGTTCTTAAAAAGCAAGCTAAATACGGAACTGCAAATTCTGTACCTGCTACTACATCTAGTTTAAAGAAAAAATTAATCAGTGGAGGTGGTCCTACATCTGCAACAAACATTTCTGTTCCACCACCACCTATACATCGTGCAAAAACGTGTAAGTATTTTTATGTGTTGTAGTTCAGATTTCAGGAATTCAAAGATGTGAAAGTCATAAATCTTGCTATATGTGTAAGAATATATTGTACTAAATATTTCTATTTGTTTTATTAGCCTCTGGTAACGTTAAGAAAACAAAAGCACCTCTGATGGCAAAAGCTTTGCAATTAATAAAAGGACGTTACAAGCGGTAGTTCATGAAATGTTTATTAACATTTCACTACTTAAGTAAGTTATGGATCAATTCATAATGCATTTTGCGTTTATGTATGTGTATCATAATCACGCGAATCATATCAGTTTATATTTTCGGTTATATAATTTAGTGACAAAAGAATGTATTCTGAATAGAAATATGTTGCGATCTTCGCCCACTCTGTTAAGCAGTCGATAATTTACTAATTTGATCATGTAATGTAAGTATCTGACAACAAGCGCGCAGTTCTTTCAGATTTATTATGAATATTATAAGCAGATCTATAGATGGAATTCAAAGGTTTGGATTTTCAAAATGATTTATATAAAAGTTTGATGAATTTTTTAATATGAATGACGTGCAGTAGATATCTGACATTCTTTAATCATAAAGGTCATCAGAAATTGATATTAAATTAAGGAGTTATTAACATTGAACTTATTTAATAGTTTAATAGCTTATATGCACAAATAAAAAATTCAACTGAAATATGACAGACAGACATAAAATCTACTTGTGTACTGTATTTTACTTTGTTCAGTAATGTTTATTCACGTACAAAGTATCTATTCAAATGAAATTCAAAGTTACATACACATTAATATATCTCATTTGTAACTGTGATTCGTTAATTTCGTTAAATTGCAATTGTAAATATCTGTTTATGGAGAAATATAAAAAAGGAAGTAAAACAGAATAAACTATCTAAAGGCAGAAGAAAATTATAATAATGGTTAATATTAAGAGCATAATATGTAGTTTGTATTCTTGTATAATTTACAATGATTGTGAATTATTGATTGTATGAAACATCACTGATCTACATGAAGATAGAGTATATCAATGAAGCATACAAATGTGCATTGAAAAATACTTTCTTCATTATACTGAAAATCACCTAGGACTAATAACATTTAGAAAATTATAATGTTAAATTATTTTAGTAACTATAAATAAACTGCATTCAAGAAGTTTTTAGATGGTTACTCAGAGACATGGCAAATCTGAGAATTTGAGATCACAAAATTGTTTAAACATACAGGTGGAAAAATATGCAAGCATAAATAACATTAAATATTGCATATTAATATTTTTGTAAATTTTCTTTGAGTAGCAGATCATAACTAAATATTGTGTGAAATTAATGTTATTTTGTCCAATACGTGATATGCATATATTTATGCGGAATTTGTAATCGAATACATGTATTTAGCGTAAAACACTGATCTTTTAGTTATCCCGTCTCGGAAATACGTTACCTATCAGCTTAGATTATTATAAGGATATAATTTAACACGTTGGCTGCTAAAGTAATTGTTTTGTATAGGTTGTTAGACTAGTTTGATCACCTGCATAGATAAGGAGGGTTTGTTATAATGTTCCATGTACTACTATCGGCGACCATGTATTCTTTCATCCGTTTCTTTTTCGACTATTCAGTCATTAATGAAAATTAATAATTTGGAAATAAGATTTTATATGGCCCACTTTTGAACTTAAATATTCTTTTTGTGTATGAAGGAGATTCTAAGGTTACCAATTCATTTTTAAATATAAATATATGTTCATAAATTAACATAACAATATTCTATTCTATATTCGGACAAATTGAATGACTGTAATCGCTGAAAGTAAACGATCCGAACATTTCCACAAATGGTGATAAGTAGATAACAGAATGTTAGAAAGCTGATTTTGACTTTAATTCATGATATTTATGAAAATTATACAGAACGGTTGACTGTTTAAAAAACACATTAATTATAATTTATCAATTTTCGATATAATCAATATTTTTGAATACGTATAACTTTCATATTTTATGAATCTTTTCCTGTATTTTAATAATAGCGTTTATTGACATGTATCAATGATCAAATGAAAAATTGAGCGCAAGTGAGATCAAGTAAAGAAATTGACAGCAATTTTATTTGCTTTTAAGTATTTTTCTGAAAGCAATTAATAGATATAAATGTACTTGACCAATTAACACAAAACGCATGAACAATTTTTACTAATGTACAAGCTTATAGTCAGCTTTGAAAGTTCTTTTTTATGTTTCAGCATTTTTCATACTATATAAAGCTATACTTTTCAAACGAATCTTCTACAATTTTTCTTCATTATTAGATTCATCTGTCCACATCACTCGGAGTTTTTGTTTTTCCTGTGTGCCCCTTTTTCTTTTTTGACAATTATTATTTTTAATAAGAAATAAAAATCAAGGAAAATGTGTTAGCATATGCTGAACTGTTTGTTTCAATACTTCACGAAGCTACTAAGCAAAAAAAGATGTAGTACAGGCATTATCAATATTCCAGCTTTACATAGCAGAATACTTTGCCTGTTGAGTGACATTTTTCTTCGAGTTTCTACATTAGACAGAGTATTATCTAAGTCTGTTTCGAAATTTCAAATACATGGTAAAAAGGACATTGTTCTCCGTGTATATGGCGTCTATACAAAGCATGTAATACAAAATCAAAGTAATATTTCAGTAATATTGAAATGACCGCCGGCGGTATAATATGTTACAGTCAACGTGTTAAATAAGAATTCGAAATGTATGTTAGTCAGGATGGCATATTTAGAAAACTATATGATCACTTTAGTTTAAAGAATGAATAGAATTAATTTTTAGGGAAAATTTTATTATCTACAGCATTATATTCATGAAATTGTACATACACAAGATACTGCAACGATTGTAATTTTATGTATCTTACAATGCTATTTTATTTATTGTTTCATTATAGATCTATATATTTCAGTCTTTTAAATTTGATTTTATAAACGAACAATTGTAGTTTTCTGATTTTACATATTTAACAAAAAATGAATTTGGATACATTCTTGAATTGTAAAACAATGAACAAAATGTCACAAATAGTTTTATATTTATTATATTGTAATAAGTTAACATCACAAAAGAAACATACATATGTATATTGTAATTTAAAAAAAAATTAAAAAAATTATAAGTGAAAACTAGATAATTGAATGTCATTATCGCCATATATTAGTTTCTAGAGTAAATTTCATTTCTTCTTTTTTTAATTTACGTTGTAGTAAGAAATTGTGTTCAGTTAATAGATTGCGACCAATATAGGGCTAAATGATAATCATATATATAAATCAGTTTCATATATGTACACAGTATAATTCGAGGTGATACATTTTATGTAGAATATATACTTTTAATAGTTTTCGATAGTATTTGAATGTTGAATAAAATTTACTTTTAAAAACAGGTAGGAGTATATAAAAAATTTAGGAATGCTAACTTTAAGAATTCATTTGATTTGTGTTTCTATAGTATTTACATGCTTTTAAGAGATCACATTGATTTTTGTACCTGTCTTATTTTCACAAATGCGTTTTAATCTGTACAATAAAATTCATACATGAAGTATTGTATTACCTACACCTGTTTCCATCACATTAAGAATTCATTAAGAAAATTTATAATGTTAATTAGCAGCTTATGTACTTAAAACCTTTGATAAGGATGTGTACTAATGAAAAGAACTGTATAAAGTACAATAAAATATGTTGACTAACATTGTACAGGGTGATTCTTTCGCTACATAAATCAAAGACTGTGCCGCTCTAAAGAACCGCCTCGCGGCTTATTAGTACCGCGACGCGAGGCATAATCGGGGCAGACCTCGACTCCCCGTGGACCAGTGAATACCGATCGCAATCAAACTCTCTGCTGTTTGGGTAACCGACTCTCCAAGGTACTCGTGTAAATCAGGCGCTGTCCGACCGCACGCAGGCAAACCTTTAGCCCCTGGTCCTTCGGCAGTGTAGGGTCAAGCCGGTCAACCCCATAGACCGGACCATCTAGACCCCTCGTTCCCCATAGGCAATTACCTAAGAACCCTTTCAGATCTGAATTTTCTTTTAAGAGTAACAAAAATATTTGATTACACATTTTAACTCAGTAGGCTGTTTAGATAGTGTTTTGAAGAAAAAAAAATTTTGTAAGAAAGTTCATCTACACAAATGTGACCACCAGGTCTGAAAGGGTTAAGACAGTAAATCTAAACTGAAGAACGAAGACATCCGACGAGGGAACTTAGTTCTTTATAGGTTTAGGCTCAAGAAAGAAGTCATCCGCCGAGGGATTTTAGTACCGATAGTATTAGATAATTAAAATTTAAGTTATTTATAAGGTTTATTGTGAAAGGTGGATAGATGCAGAACTTGGGATTCCATCTACCTGCCTTGAGCCTCCAGTCGCAGCAACCTCCTCGTGGTGAGGCCCAGGCAATCGGTATTGTCTTCGGTAAAGTATTGTAAAACGAAGATAATATCGAGTTACTGGCTGCGAACTTTGCATTTATTTCGTAACAGCATGTTGTATTTTACAGCGGACTTTCAAGGCGAAGGTAGTTATATACATATATTAATAAATGTATATATGTACTTAAAGTATGTATGTACATGGCAATATTCCTGGAATTCTGGCCCTCTATAACCCCGAAGGCTACAATAAACGAGCGCCTACCATATGACGTATTACCACCGATAGGTATAGAATAGACCTATCATCCAATGCTTTTTTCTGTCCCACGTTCGCAGGGCTACGTAGCCCTGTTACCATTTTAGTGTCAATATCCGACGTTACCGGTAAAGCATGAATTCTGAGTATTATCGAAGATGAGATATAAGAATAGACCTAACATGCAATGTAATTTTCTGTCCCATGCTTCGAGGGCGTCAGAAGCCCCCTTGCCATTTTAATGTCAATACCTGACGTTACTGATAAAGCATGAATTCTGAGTATTATTAACACAAATGAAGTGTTATATATTCCATTCATATTGCGTGTATCTATATGATTTGGCGGGAATAAAAATATCCGATGCTTCAGTTTAAGGTATAATATGATAAATAATATAATAGGATAAATATGACAGTCATGAAACATGAAACGGAAAAGTATATATTTTTTCACTTAACTACAAGACAATTTATTCTAAATGTATCGTTAATGGACATTTTATTAATGTTACTTTTTACATGTTCTTGTTTTATTCGTTTTTATATCTTGTCTTACATTTGTATATTTGTAACAGATAAATTCAGAATAGATGTAGTGTCATAAATAGTTTATCAAATCTACATGTGGGAGAATATATACACCGCTTTTATTAACATTTACATATTTATAATTTATATGGGAGTATGAATAGTTTTATTGCCTATTGTAAGAATTTTAATACGCACGAACAATTACATTCTGGCAATTGGTAAATTTTTACATATGAATTTACTTACAAAAATTTTATTTATTGCGAGTAATTAAATAATGAACGTATGTTAATATTCAGCTACGTGTCTCTCAAATTAAGTGAAATACAGAAGCTTTATTTTCTTGAAAATTAGTGTCAAAGACTACAGCAACTGGTCAGATTAGTTACGTAAATAAATCGAAACCCTGTATCGGCACATTGTTTTTTAGGCTATCAAATATGACACGGAGTCTTTTAGGATGTAGTAAATATACACGATATCATACGATCGTAAAAAGTTATCAGGCTTAGAGTTTCGGTTTGGCGGGTTTTCTAAAATACCCATTGGCACTCGTACGGAGTACCTGACGTCCGGTGGTAAGGTTCAAGTCGCGTGGACCCGAGCGGAGGAACGGGGCCGAGAGGGAAAACTTGTACGCGGCGTGTATCGAACGAATTTCACGTTGTGCGTAACAATACATACATGTAATACATAAAACGAAGTATGTATTACACTAAACAAATACATAGGGTGTTCCAAAAATCAGTCCCATACTTTAATTGGCTGACACTTTGGTATGATGCGACGCTGTTCGTTGGTATCTGATAGTTGTGAACTAACAATATGTAGTAAGTATCTACTATCCTTTTAAACTTATTATTTTCTTAATTTCATGTAGTATACGTGTGCATTAAAAATAGTAAAATCTAAATATTTCGTATGGAACTTCTTTATAAAGTAGAGTAATGTATGTTTTATGAACAAAACATACATTATCCACGATAGAAAAATAATTTAATCAGACAGACCTAATATTTCATGCGTACATTGCTACACGACTGATTTAAATTCGTGAAAATAAACTTGTAACTCGATTTATGCAATAAAATTTATTTCATCATTGTATAGTCTTTTTTGCAATGAAATAAAATTACAATAAATATGATAATACTGATTACAATAAAATTATTATAAAATAATTTTCCATGTACACATTACTTTACTTGTACGGACACGTTGTTAAACTTAACAACTTAATTTCGTATTGCAAGTAATTGTTACAAACTATGTTGTGAAGTTTAATTCCAATTACGAAAGTATCTTGGAAAGCGCAATAAATTTTTTATGTGCAAATGCAGGCTCTATAAGGCAGGCTATCCGTTCCAACCGAAAACGACGTGAGCGATCATTAGGTACATAGTAATTGTCACAGAACTCGTTAACATTACCGGAAAGCCTACCCTGAAACATACATGTAGAATATTATTTGCTAAATCAATAAAGATATTATACCTGGAAGAATAAGTTAATAGCAAACTTTTGTGAAAACTAGTTTACCTACTAGCGATTTGTTATTCGTTTTGAAATAATAACTCCAGTCTTGATGCACTAAGTTTATATGTATAACATATTAAACTATTTTGTTCAAACTTAATTCGTAATTTAAACTTCACTAATGTATTAATTATAACAAAGGAACATTGATTGATTGTAACTTGCAGGAAAATAATAGAAAAAGATACTTACTTGAAGAATTGCATAAAAGTAAATCTGTATCCATGTTGCTCGGCGACACCTACGCAAATTACGTTAGAGGTAGCTCCAATCAAAGTTCCATTCCCTGCAAATAATAATCCGTTCAACCACATAAATGACATCAGAATTGATCGTTGTTTAACGTTCACGATATAATGTGTTATGAGCAAATGAAGTAACACCGAAACTTGAATCACAATTCGTTTTGAACTTTCGTTATCCGTAAATTATATTCAGTCTCATAATTGGGAATGTAATCTCTGTTGCCTTGTAAACTAAAGTCCGGCATCCATTTGTTGCGCATCTTTGTATCGTATCACTGCTACGTATCAGTATGGACGGGTGAGCATTGCACAGTTTCGTGTCATCAAAATTTGATACAAACATATGCAACGGGCTCAACCTATCATTTGTTGATTTCTTATAGTTGCATCAAAGGAATGACACGGTATTGGAGTGAGGCAATGTGGTGTGGATACGCAATGATAATACGGGAAGAAATCACTCACCGTTGCACCGCACAGTATAATCGGATGATAAATAACGATGACACGATATGAGAGAATGCAACAAAAACTGAAGTTGACTGAAATTGAACAAATCCAAGTACACAGACGTCACGGAAGTCTGTAGCCGACTATAAACGCCGACCGTTGACCCGCCGAAACATGGTCAGCAGCCGCGATTACTTTTGAAGGAAAGTAACTTCTTTTTTAAGGAATCCGTGCCTTCATACACTGATTAGAAACAAACCAACACCAATCAATAGTCTCAATCACCCTAATACTAACATTAACCCGCGTGCAAAAGCAAATACATGCAAAAGATCATTTCCTATCTATTTTGCAGACAACAAATTTTTGCTTTATTTGCGAATATCTCATTAAATATAAACGGTGCGATGGGAGCAATTTCAGATTCGGAAAGAGCAAATCAGGAGCAATTTTTTGAAATGTAAATCGTTAAGATACGTTAACATTCGGTGCCACTATTTTCCGGTGGCGCCAGAGACCCTGTGTGGTGAGATCGTGGGGTCATAGAACCCCCGGTGGAGACGCCAACGACCCCGTGTGGTGAGATTGAGGGGTCATAGAACCCCGGTTTAGCACCAGGGACCCCGTGTGTGCGAGATGTACCCTCACGAGCAAAGTTATTGAGATATCTGACTATTGATTATTATAAAACAGATCAGGAGCAATTTTTTGGTACCATAATATTTGTGTAAAAAGGTCATTTACTACCTATTTTGTTAACAACAAATTGTTACTTTTCCTTTTGCGAATATCTCATTAACTATTAACGGTGCTGGGGAGGCAATTTCAGATTTCGAGGGAGCAAATTGGGAGCAATTTTTTCAGATATAAATCGTTAGATACGTTAACATTCGGCGTCAACTATTTTTCGGTGCACTATACGTAGATGTATCTTAAACTTTCATACTAAATCAAGTTGATTCACAAATTCTTAATAATAAATATTTTGGAAAATTTAAGTTAAAATCATACACTTTGATTACTCTAAATCAATTTAAACGATTTAAAAGTCGTCGTTACTGTAATAATGTACATCTTATAAAAATTAAATTAAGCAAATCTACTTTTTAGAATTGAAGGGGTATATGTTTTTAGTTGTTTTATCATCAAATATATTCTATTGTATAAACAGTTCTGTCATTAATCGTTTTCGTCGCAAGTGATTTGATCTCCATGATATGTCACAGACTCCTATCGATAGATGTCGGGAGTCACGTTTATTCGTTATTCAATTACGTTAATAACAAAAAAAATCGTATTCGAATAAATCTGGTTCGAATAACTCTTTAAATTTATTGGTGAATAACGAATAATTTTTCGTCGAATAAAATCGTTATTTGTTATTCACAAATAAATCTTGGGGATTTATTCGTTCTTCTTTATTTGTTATTCGGAATACAATTTGCACAACTCTTGTAACCGTGCGGGTTATATAACACCAGTAGGATGGTAGTAGTAGTAACTATGTAGTAACGCAGGTAAAGCCGCGTACCCATCTGAGTATGCGGCCCCAAATGATCACCGGATAAGTGTCGGACGCACACCGAAGAAGCGAACGTGCGCAGATCACTGATGCCAGTCTGGCTTAGGTCGGCCTTCGCGTCGTAAACGCGTGACGTAGGACTTTTGGACGTAAGGACTTACTAATGAACTCTAGTCCTACACTTTTGGCTGCTCGTATAGTTTCATGGGATCATATTAGGTGCTTAAAACGATATATTATTGCAGTTTGAAAATTATCTTAATTTCCTTACCTCCCATACAGGCTCCGAAAGCTAAGGCCCACACTAAAGGTTGTAGTGGTAAACCAAGTTCACTGTTTTGTGCTAAGTTTGTTACGATTCTTATCATCATAGTTGACAAAGGTACATTATCAACGAATGCGCTCGCAAATGCTGAAACCCAGAGTAGTAGCAATATAGCCACTGCTAAACGTGATTCTTCGCTCACTGATAGGATAATATTTTCTGTTTGTTTTCCTATCCAAGCAATAAGACCTAACCGAGAAAGTGCCTGCAACATATCGAATGCGTTACTAAAGCTTAATTAGGTAAATAACACAAAAAATACAGATAACTCTTTTATAAGATGGTAGTTAGAATTGGGTTAGCTCCTAATAAAACCACGTGTAATGTAAAATCGTGTCATGTAGGGACAATTATAACAAAATAATACCAAATGAATGATTCCCTTATAAAGACTAATAGATCCTTATAAGATTAATAGGAATTTACTTAAAAATCAGCAGAGTAATTAAACAATACTACTTTTTAAGTTAGATTCGTTATTTTATGACTACATAAGTCATTAAAACGAATGTCGAATTATTAAATGACATGCGAAAAATTAAAAGAAAATATTATTTTCAATAGAAAAATTCAAGTTATGGGTTCACGATAGATATGGAGTCATTCGACGTGAAGTCGGACACTCTTTGCAGTAACATTTCAGTTTTTGTTAAAACTTGGATATGTTGTAGTCTTTAATGATATAGAAGTGAAAATTAGTTGAAGTTAACGCTGCGTCAAAATACGCCTTAATCTTCATATGGTCAATTTTCAAGTGTCGATAGTTTTTAAAATTTGTCTATAAAGGGAACAAGTGGGACTAGGTATATCCTTATGTTTTTAAAAATTTTTTAGTAGTGCCTCGCTATTATAAAATTGCATTTCTTTAAAACAATTGCAAAATAAAAGCTTAAAATATATTTTTTTTCAATTGAAGTAATTTGTATTAGGTTCTCTGGTAAAAGTTACGTTTAGGGGATGCAGCTCCGATGATCCTGACCTTGACACATGTTTAGGACACTCTTCTCAGTAACCCCCAAGAAGTTTCAGCCATCGCTTATTTTTTTATTAAAAAGTTATTAGCAAAAGAATTTTCAACATATACTAATTATTTTAATTATTGGAAGGCATAAACAACTAGTATATGCGTGGAAATAGTACACGTATTAAGGGAGAAAAGTCATTTGAAGCAGTAAATCGATAGTGAACAGAGGATTATTATGATGTAAGAAATAGTCGATGAGTATGCGAAATGAGAATTTTAGTCAGTATTTAAACGATCTAATCGATACACAGAACTCATTATAAAGCATTAATACGTTCGTCAAAATTGTATTATTCTTATAAACAAAAATTCCGCAATGTAGTACGTGAAATGATAGTAATCACGTGTGCTGTAGCGAGGAATACTTGCTCGCATGTCCCTCCACAGTCTTTCTATAGTTTGTGTGTAAACATCAGTTTTAGGATGTACAAAATTGGCTCAATGGTTTACTGTCCGATGTATATAAATTTTCATTGCGTAAAGTATCGTATCCGCGCTACATGTCGCTGTGAATAATTGTGTTCGGAATAATATATTTTCGAATGTTAAGTAAAAGTGTTCCACTACTTCAATTTGGTACAGGCAAAATGAAAACTTTTTTTAGTATCACGTTTGATACCACCAACAACCAACATTGAACATGGTCCGTTGAAAAGAGAAAGAATGTGCGAGAGGAATAACTAACCAACTCTGAATTACTTTCTTTTTTAACTGCCTCTAATCAACTCTGAAGTATTATACTGATCGCAATTGGTTAGAGACAGTTCAAGAAAAAAAGTAATTCAAAGTTGGTTAGGGACAGTTGCCTTTTAGTAGTTAAAATACTTAGTATATGTTGCAATTTTTTTTGCGAATAGCTTTTTAATAAAAAACGAGCGACGACTTCAGGGTTACTTGGAAAAATATCCTTAACAGCATATGTCAAGGTCAAGGTCATTGGTACTACATCCCCTAAAAGTAACTTTTACATTTATTGAAAAAAGGTTGGCGTATATTTCAAACAGCTATAAAATTAACAATTTAAAAAAATTTCAAAAATCTTTCGAGATTCTTTAATATACCACTATAGACTACAAAATATCCGAGATTCAATAAAATCCGAAATGTTACTCCATAAAAATGTCCGACTTCACGTGGAATGGTTCTAGTGGGAGAGTAGTGACAAAAATAAAATCTACAATAGTTCAAACTTTACGAATACATTGTTTATGAAATAATATTATTCAATCGTTATTTAAATTGTACTGTATGTTCTAAGAAGGCTAATAAGCAATTTATTTGTTCCTGACAACAGCCGCTGTGTTCATAGAGTATTGCAGTATTTATCAATGCAACTATTTGTAAAGAATAACTATTTCTGAGTTAAAATTTGGATAATTATAAAGTACATAAGTATAAGCAAATATTATTAAATACACTATACCTCCATTAAGATAAATAATGATGCGAAAAATAACAAAGTACTCCATTCTACACGTGCCATAATACCATCCAAATCTTCAGTGTCCGCTAAAATTAGTAATAAAAGAACACCAACCAATGCTGTCCAACCGAGAGACAAATGCAGATTCGGAATACTGTGGAGAAAAAACAGAATGATCACGAAAAGTAACGTGAATCCAGATTTTGCTAGTAACCATTTGTCCCGAATAGGATACTGTAAAATAAAATAAAACAATTATACTTATTTTCATTTGGATTTATTTACTTTGTTTAGTATTTATTATAAAGTATTTCATTTGTAATATGCTTAAAATGTATGTACTTAACAGTAAGTCATATTCATATGACACTCTGTATACAAGGTAACTGTGGTCGGATAAGTGGCACAAGCGGCAAAGGGGTGATTCTACGTGGAAAAAATAAGTCGAGAACATATAACATTTTTTTCATTTGAGTCTTCGTTTTCGAGAAAATCTGCTGGATGCGCGTACAACTGAATAGGACTTGGCGACCGCGTCTGTTTATTGCATTCCGTTTCTACTTCCTACCATGATGAATACGGGTTTCAGATTAATCTTCAAAGTCGATTTTCTCAAAAACGAGGCGTCAAAAGAAAAAATTTTTTTTTTTTGGACTTATTTTTACATGTGTAGTCACCACCAGCCCGGCCACACTCTGAATAATACATGATGTTTATTATAATAATAAAGAAAATTACGAAAATTCTTTTTTCCATTACCAGTATCATTAAAAATTTGCTAAAACTGCTTGTGTTTATATTTAGTACGATTTTTATTCATGCATACAAGAAAGAATAGAAAAATTTTTATTCTCCTGGCTCTGGCTGAAAGCACTTCACTTGTCACGAAACGAAAATAAGATTCGGAACAATTCAGAGAATTGATGGAATATAAGGAAGAATTCCAAGATTCTAACAGAACAAGTGACATTGAAATAAACACCGTTTAAAAGGGACATAGCTTGATGTCAATAATCGGGGCGGGGGGGGGGGGGGCAGGACAATTATTTATTTCACGTTCTCGTACATTCATGCTATTGAAAACAGATAGATTAAAAAAGACAGTTCAATTCTGCACTATATACACCACTAGTTACGAGCAGTTTATGGTGTCGTTATGCGTTTTGTGGCAATTTTTCTTTTTCTAAAGATTGTGATCTTATTTTCTGTCATCTTTTGAACATCAGCAGGTAAGTAACAATTCTTCATCATGTAGTGGCGAATGTAGGAGGTAGTGCCGCTACAATGTTATGTCTTAAATATTACCAATTAGGCAATTTTTCAAAGTATTTACTTATGTGCTGTTAGGTTTAATAAAAACGATTTTAAGAATTTAATAGATAAACAAACGGTGTATTAAGAATATCACACCACACGCCCTTGAACAGTACCGAAAATAAAGGAACTGTTACAGACTTTTCGAAGAGCATATACATATACATATACCGTTCACGACCATGATCCCTTCAATGATTTTCCGACGTACCGAACACTCATGATCTGACAACATTGCGTACTTTAGACTCAACACACTGTAGAAGGTAGACTAGTTGAGCTCGAATAGATTTAACGTAGTTCACAAATTCACCGTTCTCATAACGTAGAGGGCAGCAGAAAATCCGTGACTTTTTACACTATCGGTATTTCAGAACATGAGACACGAAGTCCCATAAGATGATAGGTCTATCCTATACCTCGTCGGTGATGATAGGTCTATACTATACCTCGTCGGTGATTTTGGCGGGATAATTCAAATGTGCTTGCAAAAAAGAATCACTTCTTCAAAACAAAATACTGATTCTGTGTTATTTTGCTTTGATTAAGTGGTTTTTTTTCCTAAACAGCCTCTAACCATCACAGAATCAGTATTTTGCTTTGAATATGCGATTTTTTTTGCAAGCACATTTGAATTATCCCGCCAAAATGGCCGCGACCCACATGCATCTCCTTACAAGCAGTGACACTACTGATTCGGAGTGATTGGACGAATTTTAGATTGAAACCAATATGGCGTTAATCTAATCTGTAAAGTACGTTAAAAATACTTGGCTTTACATATGCATAACTTTTGAACCGGTGGATTCCTAAAATTTGCATTTTCACATTCTACTCGTTGAATACTACTAGGAAAAAGTAAAGTTTACTCTTTTAATTATTTATAATAACATGACTTTGGGTTACGTTTACAATAATATGACATTTTAATATTTTAAACATTATATTACAACATTTAAACATTCGATTCGCATTACAACAAGTACATACTTTACTGAAGAATATCTTAAAATCTTCCTCGATTGTTTTCTACTCTTTGTGGCATCTTCAATTGTAGCAATGCACTAAATAACAAATAATATACATCAATTATTTTATCAATGATTAATATTCAGGTACATTCAGGTAAATGTACCAAAGTATAAATAGTTATCTTGAATAATGTAATGATAATCTTATATAATGTATGGAATTTTAAATACATTTGTCACTATTCCTGTGTATTCTGAATTCCTTTCAACATCCTTAAAAGTGGTGTCCAGATTTCTTTTTTCAACCTGCCTCTGATGTCCTTACTTTTTATCATTTTATGTTACAGATAATATTACAACATTTAAACATTACATTTACATTAAAACAAGTACATACTTTATAGAAAACTGTATTGTAAAATCTTCCGTTACTGTTTTATATCCTTTGTGGGTTCTTCAATTGTAGAAATGCACTAAATAACAAAGAACATACACAAATTATTTCTGAATAACTAGTATTCAGGTACATTGTTAATTACCAAAGTATAACTACTTATCTTGAGTTATGTGATCATGTCTTTATACAACATATGGAATTTTAAATATACTTTTTGCTGTTCTTATGTGCCTTGAATTTCTTTGCTTATCTTTAATAGCTGTGGCCAGTCTTTTTTTTCCAATCATCCCTTGATGTCTTTGCTTTTTACTAGTTTGCATTACCTAGAAAAAACTCTTTTAAACCTGTTACTATCGTTTGTATCCAATATGGTGCTTTTGTACTATGATATTCTAGTCGTTCAAATATATATTTTAATTCTTTTGCATTATTTTCAGCCTGGTCTTCCTGATCGAGTATCTTTTTTTGCCATTCATCATGTTTTTGATCTTTATCACTGCTCTCTTTTTCTTGATATTCGTCTTCTGGAAATTCTTCCTCCTTGATGACAGGTTTCATTTCTATTTCCTCAGATACAGATACAGATTTTGTGACTTGGTTTACCATGGACTTTTTGTCATGTCCATGAATTAAATGTATGTTGTGGCGTCTTTTAAACTTTACAAGCCAGCCTTTGCTCACTTTGAAACATGAACATGATGGTATACTGTCTTTTAATTCGACAGCCTTCTCTAACATTAAAGCGTCTGTTAGAGTACGACCAAGTTTCCTTCTTTCTGCAAACCATGTAAATAAGTGGAGCTCCAGTTCTTCATACGTTGGTCTTCTTAGTCTTCGCCGTTCTCTCTCCTGCTTATTCTTTTTTGCAAATACATTAATAGTTGCGGCGTTTCTTCTTATTCGACGAACAGTTTCGGGATGTACACGATATTTTTCAGCAATAACTGCAACAGGTTGTAATGCTGCCAACTCTTGTAGAATATCCAGCCGTTGTTGCATAGAGAGAGTACATTTCTTTATAGACGCCATATTTATTACTTCAAACAAAATTACTACCACAGACGAGATATAAGAATAAACCTAACATGCAATGTAATTTTCTGTCCCATGCTTCGGGGGCGTCAGAAGTCAGAATTGGTTAGAAGTAGAGATGAATCGATACAAGTATATACGAGTACATTACTCGATACTTTTGTTTCGATACCGAGTAAGTATCGATACCTTCATACAATACTAGCAATGAGTAAAAGTATCGTTATCTTGGCGGTATCGATTCATCCCTAGTCAGAAGTAGGGATGAATCCATACAAGTGAACACGAGTACATACATTACTCAATACTTTTGTTTCGATATCGAGTAGTTTTGGTATCGATACGTATGGTTGCGATACCAAGTAGGTATCGAAAAAAAGTACTCGTATTGAATGGAGTGAGTATCGACCCATCAACATTTGATATTGTAATTACTTTTAACACAAAACAATGTTGTTTATATTAATAATTAAGGAATCTGTATTTAAATAGTTTCAATATTAAAATAATACATGAATATATGGTTGGGTGTGAGCTTCCAAAAATGGTATTTTCAAATACAGACCAAGTTTTCCTGCATTGTTTCCTGCAGCATCCCCATCTACCATTTATGTTATGTTTTACATAACCTTGTTCAATAATGCATGCTACCTTCCCAATGAAATATTTTACTACTTAAATTTAGCAAATTTAATTGATTTGCAAAGTTAAAGACTGCGTTTTCCGTTTCAGTTTCTGTTAAATATTTCATTTAATTTTATCATTAATAAATGTATTATTTATGTTATTGATGAAATTGTATTTATTCTTTTTGTTTTTACAGAAATAAGGGGCTTTCCCATTTTTCTAAGTACAACGTCATTGTCTTGTTGTATGTTCTATATTTTACTGGGTTTATTTTTGCAATATACTTCGAAAGATGGTCTGGTTGGTCTAGATATTTTTGGGGCTCATCCCTGTCGACCGGGGAACAGAACACGGTCACGGTATTACCTGCCTGTCGTAAGATGCGACTAAAAGGGACCGTTGGGATTGGTTGGGATCGCGGGACTGTGGCACCCGCGGTCCGGGGGGGGGGGGGGGCCCCCCCCCCCCCCCGGGGGGGGGGGGGGGAGCTCACCGCTTCCCCCACCACAGAGAGGGCGCTCTGCCGTTTCTGGCGGAGCGGGCGCTGGGGAGGTACCGCCGGTACCGTACCGGTTGTGTTCGCAAGAGATCCCGGTGCCTCCCCGCACAGCGCCGAGCCCGGCCACCGTGAGATTTTAACCAAGTTGAATATTTTCAGAATATCTCTGAAATTAAATATGCTAGTACAAATAATCTCTGATAATTAATACGTACATACCTATTTATTTATTATGTATATCATATATTACGTATATTGTATGTAGTTTATACATGTGTTTGTTTATTTTTTTTATATTAAATATTTAAATAAATATATATAGTATATGTAGTATTGTATTTTATTTTCTCTCGAAGTATAAACAATGTTTGTCTTGGGTATCAAGGTTAGGAAA